TGCTCATTATCAGAACATTTATTGTTCAATTAAAACTTGTTTGGACAAGAGCAAAAAAAGGGTTCAAATGGAAATTCATTTTTGCTCTCTTCTTTTTGCAATAATTTTCTCCAAATTTTCATTCCATTCTTGCTTTTTTATCTCTCTTTACCTTCTTTACTCATGAATATGAGCTGATTGTTTTTCTCGTCGAGTAAAACTAATTAGAAGAAAATTCAATTTTCTTTCAAGTGAATCATGAAAAATGATGAGTTGGAACTTTAATTTAATCTAATTTTGTTTCGCCTCATATTTCAACTAATCATTATCATTAATTATCATGTATAATTAGTTGATCAACAATTTGGTGGAATTTGTTTTTTCCACTTTTTCCATGCAAACTTTTCTCTCAATTAAAAACTGTGAAAATGATTTATATTAATTTTACCTTTGAGATGACCAATTAATTTGGAAAAGCTTTAAACTCTAATGAATTGAATTAGCCAAGAATTTGCAATGAATGTTTGCGAAATGAATGAGAAAAGATGAAACTCTTTAAAACCCAATTGTCGGTTTTCCTGAATTTCCATTCAAAAGACAATTTGCAATCAATGGAAGTAAAAAAAATTTAACCTGAAGAGCGAATTCTGTTGAAGGTGAAATCGATTCACCATATGAATAACATTCTGTTGGAACAATTTTGAATCGAGAATTTTTTCCACTTTTTTTCTTCTTCTTTTCACTTTTCCTTGAAGCTGTTTGTTCCTGGTTATTAGAATGATATTAGTTTACATTATAATGACAATATTTATTCAGATTGACGATTCAATGGATACATGATAAAAAGGTCAACCTTGTTTGAACAAAACGTTGTATTCGTTGGAAAATTCACTTTTTTGGCTGCAATTGCTTCCGTGTTCAAGTTTTGAGACTCGATGAACACTGTGCTTGTCTGGGAGTAAAAAGATTTGACTGATGCGATAGAGTATTGGAGGTGCAAAAAAGCGAAAAATGAAATAACATTTTTTCTCTTCTTTTTCAGTCAACCTTTTATTCTTCTTTATTTACCTTTGATTGGTAAGGAAAAGAAAAAAAAGGTTATTATGTTCATGATACGGTGCAAGACATCTGATGAGATAATGTTAGTCTTGGATAGCCTCAAGGGACGGATAAGTATGGGTACAATAGTATCTTTGGAAAAAAGGGAAAACAACAAAAAGAAGAGAAAATGAAATAACAGTATCATGATATTGAGTGTAAAAGACGCAGAAAAAATGTTGAAAAAGATTGCTACGAATATAAGAATGAGTGAAAACATGACCCGAGGCCAGATAGACAATGTAAATATATTCAACTGTCTGCATACGAAGGAGACTGGGAAGCAGATTTAGATAACACTTTGGGATGAGCAAAGAAAATCAAATTTTATTATCGTTACTATTCGATACTGTCAAGTTTTATTAGCAAAAAAGCTTCGTATATTGCCCTTTTCTATCCAAAATAATTCTCAATGATACTTGTTCATGCGGCCGAATAGATGACTTGGCACAAACAGTATACATGATCATTGAATATAGCGTAGATGTCCTTTCTGGATTTAAAGGTCATTTCACGAAAATTTGTGACAAAAGCTTGCTTTAATCGCCACTTTTAATTCATCACTGTTACTTGCAGCTGTAAAGATAAAAGAAAAGAATATATTAATAGATAAGATAATTCAGTTATTTCGAAATCTTGGACTCTCAGATATTGCAGAAACACTTTAAAATGAAGGCCACCTCAAGAATTAATGTCAGATAAAATGGAGGGTAATGCACTAAGGTTCTATATGGTTCTGAAAAGGGCAACTTTAATTAACTTATTGGCGAATCACAATCATACCCTTGTAATTTTTAAGACAATCATTTTATCACAAGAGAATACTGACACAGTAAACAGATTAGATTTGTTTCAGGTAAACATTTTTAGTATACTATAACTAGTAGAGCTATAACTACCTAAAGAACAGTCAAGGGCCATAGCAGTAGCCACAGAACCAACAGATGTCCCTGAAAATTTATTCCGGACTATTTCAGGAAGATATTCACGAAAACAAGAGGAAATACCAACAAGTAGTAAAGGTCAACCCGAAAATAAGGGGAAAATATGCTCAAAGAGGTTTTTTTGTTTGTTTATTTGCCATACTTTTTGTTTACTAGTTCTTAACGTAGAAAAATTATGTCTCAGGGTATGTGCCATATCCATAGACCTCAATGTTAATTGTTTTTCTAATTAACCTAACAACTAAGCCTAATCAATTAACGTTTTATACATTGTTTTGAAGCGCTTGAAAACCATTCATTGTATCATTGAGCGCATTCATTCCACGAGTCCTCAAAATCTACTAAAGTTTCCACAATCGACAACAATGTGAACAACCCTCTTCCACTTCGAAGCTAAATGATTCTTGTGTTGGCAAACAGAGATTTCAAACGTTTGCGAGCTGATTCACTTTCTTTATCAGATGCAATAGATTCGAACCTATTGACCTTTCAATGGAAAATTATTTTTCTCCTTATTTGCCTTTTTTCTCATATCAATTATTCCTTTTTCTGTTATTTGCTGTCTTTTACTTTTCATTTTTCTGACTTGCATCTTTCCACTTTCTATTTTCAATAAATTCATTTGACTTGACGTCTCTTTGCTTTGTTTCATTCGAAATTACCAATTTTTCATTCAGAGTTCGTTACTTGAGAGAAATACCCAGGCCGCGTGGGAGCGGTGCTGAGAAAAGTCACTTTTAATTATGCTCTTGATTAGAAATACTTTTCAACAGCTCGATTTGCTTATAGAGGTTTGCTTCAAACATAGTTAAATAGAGCTACGGAATAGCTTTAAAATTATATATAAAACATTTTAGTTTGTTAGTTAGATTTTTCTTAATAAACATTGTAAAAATTTTAGTAATTAACTTTGAAATTACTTTTTTTCATTTTATTGCAAATTTTTGGCCGTTTTTAGGCATACCAAATGGTTTACGACAAACTTCTGTACATGATACTGAGTATAACAAAGACGTCCGTTTCTGTCACGCAAAGCTGCGCTATTGTTCAACTTTAGTTATGGAGTACAATGAAAGCATTAATTTCATCTCGACCCCAACATTTACGAACAATTTAGTAAATTGTATAACGAACCAAATGCCTTCGAATAATAGCTGGAAAATTTCGTAATCAATTCAATCTTTCTTTAATTTTCCAAAGGCAATTTGACCAACCTTTCAACTTATTCATGGGTTATAAAAGTCACCACAAATTCATGTTAAATGCTAATTTTGCCAACAAAAACAAGCCCATTATGTCTACAGCTCAAGGCATTGAATAGATATTTACTCGACACTTTTTCACCATTTTAATATTTCATATTGTTACACCTTTCATTGGTATGACAATCTTGTTAGAGCGTCACAAATATGAGCTAATTATTGCTCAAGGGTGAACAAGAAAAAAAAACAAAATCAACAACAAATTAATGAATAAAGTCTCTTAATAATCCAAACTCTGAACCAAGTACAAGCGAAACAAAAAGATGAACGTAAAAAAAGAGTTTAATTGTTTATCATTATAATCATAAGCCTTGATAGATTTAACCTTTAATGACATTGTAATTTTAATTTTGTTTACGCACAAATAACTAAACAGTTTATATTTCACTTTTATGCGACTAATAATGTGTTATTAGAAACAAAACTGAGCTTTTAATCTTGTATTCAAATTGAATGGATTAACTTTGATTTATAGTTGATCACAAAAATGGAAAATGAAACAAGCAAAAAGGCGAACAAAAAAACGACAAAAATTGCTCAATTCCAAGTTGAGCTCGTCTAATCAATTGAATAAAAGGCTGAACTTTTGAGCACAAAAAATATGCTGATGAAGCACAAGATAATGTTACCAGAATCATAATGATAACAATAATGAAAAACAATACAATAAGATAATTATTTGCAACAATAACTCGACATTAAAAATTGCATTTGCATGAAAAGAGCAAGTTGAATAGAGAAAGGAAAAGTTCATCCAATGTCGACCAATAAATCTTGTATAATTGCAATGATCAAAGTAGAAAAGAAGAAAAGTTTTTTTCCAAAATTTTTCTCTTTTCTTTCAACCTTTTTTTGACCCATTTTCATCTTGCAACTTGCAAAGAGATTTGATTATTTTGTTTTATTTTCCTGTAAATATTACACTGTTTAATGTTTCAAAATTGGTGAACATCAAATGTTGTGCAAAATGTTCATAACAGTAATGAAGCTCATTTCACATAATCTTGAAAATCTTGTCACGTCAAGTTTGATCTACAGTTATATTTGTGTTCATCTTTTGCTTTTGTTTTTTCCTTTTCTACCAACTTTTCCTTGACATTCACTAGCTGATCAACTTGCTTTGAATTTAAACTCATAAACTGAAAGAGCTTTAGGGTGTCAATATTACACTGTTAACAGTAATGCAATAATGTTGTATTAAAAATGCAAACTTGGCAAAGTGAAAATTTTACCATGAAAATGTGAAAATGTATGAGTTGGGAGGAAAAAAGAAATTTGTTGGAAAAAGTTATTGGAATTTTGCATTTTTTCCTTCCTTTTCTTTCCAAGTAGCAATGACAATACAATTGATGACTTTTGACATCATTTTCCAGGTCAACAAAGGTACAATTCAGCACTTGCAACTGTTTCAGATTCATCATTCCAATAGTTTACCATTTGACCATTTTCATCATTCAATAAATTCAACCTTTTTTCACACCTTTAACTTTGATCCATTTCATGACTTTGGATCAGGTTGACTTTCGGTTTGGATTTGAATCTTAGTTAATGGTTAAACTTTTTTCTCGAAATTTTCCTTTTCTTTTGCTTTTCCTTTTGATTTGTCGTCACCTTTTAACGAAATTCAACTTTTATTCACTCTCATGATTCTGAATTTAACCAATTTTTCTTTTTCTTTTGATTTTTCTTCTTCTTCTTCTTCAACATTGCCGATTAGATTCACCGGTTTGTGTTAAAGATCAAAAAACTATTTACATCGCTGGTTTGGGTGAAACTGTTCGTATCTCTTGTTCAATTGAAGCTGAACCAAGTCAAGTTGAAATCATTTGGAAAATAAATGATACTCTTCTTGATGAAGGAGTTTATCCCTTTCAACCTGGAACGGCTAAACTTTCAAGTAATTTACTTTACCAACCTCGACGGTCTGATGATTATGGAACCCTGATGTGCCTTGCAAAAAACAGAGTTGGAACCATCAAAGAACCTTGTCAATTCATTGTCATGCCAGCAGGTAAGTCAAAACTTTACTTTCCCCTCAAAGATTCATGAGTCAATTTTCAGTTTCATTGGTAACCTTTTCTGCTTTCGACTTGAATGAAAACTGAAACTGTCGAGTTTTGTTTTGTCCACACTTTAGTCTGTCTTTCAACTTTTTGTTTTTCCTTTTATGGATAAACTGTTTCAATTGTATTTACTGGTTTTATTGTTCAAGCAAAAGGATTATCAGGCAATTGAAGATAATTGAACCAATTGTAATGGAAGAGTTGAGATTGACCAAACTCGACAACAGTTTACAAGTGGATTACTTGACGAGGGCAAGATTTACTTTGGATTGCATAACAAGATTAAAACATTAACTTAATCCACATAGTAAATGAATCATTTGACAAAATCCTTGTGAGGTCTTTGCTCTTACGATCAGCGCTCGAGGGACTTTATTCAAATCTAACTTAAGGGCTCCTCGAGAAGACCTTCTTTTGGAGACGAGTTCTGTTCCTCATTCAATGGTGCTCAAATTTTCTTTTATTGAACTGTATAGAGTTGCACAATTTTTGTTCATCAGATGCAAAGTTGACCTTTCAAATTGTAATTTGATAATGTTTCAATTAAAGCAGATCAGTTGAACTTGGAAAGTTGTAGGATTGAAAAGAGTAAAAATGTTTCTGTTTTAGTTAATGATTGTTTTTCACTTTGTAATGCAGCAAATGAAAATATCCAGCATGCAAAATGAGCAGAGCTGATGAGGTTGATAATGATTATGATTAAAGCAAACCCATGGAGTCAACTAATCTAAATAATTTAATCGAGACTGTTCATGAAGCCATTAATGAGATAATACATTTAACCATGTTATTACGTTCATCTTAATTGATAAAAGTAGAGTGAAAAGAATCAGTGTGATTAAAGGTGTAATAGTTGATGTTGGCATTTAATATAGCAGTTAAGCTTTTATTGACTAAATAATGGTTATTAGTATTGGATAAAGTCCCAAGTAAAGTGAGCACAAAACACACATATTTATTATGACATAACTTTATCCATTGAATAGGGAAAGGAAAATATTATTGCATCCAGAGAAATAATTTAAAAGTATAATGTTCAAACTTTAATCGAGTTCAATTAGTGAAACAATAATAGATAACAATGGAAACGATCAAAGTAAAACACAAAGACAAACAAAAGTTGAACAAAAGTATTCAATTGAATTGGAAAAAGTCGCATCTCAGAACTCTGACAAACACACTTGTCCATTGTAATCAAGTCCAAGAAGTTGATTCATCATCCAATTGTTTTATCATTGAAACAGAAAATTAAAACTCGAAAAAATTCGAATCGAAAAAATAAAATTCTAATGATGGAATTTTGTCCTTTTGTAATTACATTACAGGTCGACCTGAAAGAATGGTCAACTGTTTGGTAAGCAATCAAACGGGCGAATCTCTAGTAATTTCATGTCAACCCGGTCATGATGGTGGCCTCAATCAAACGTTTTACCTTCAAGTTTACGATTATCGAAGAGAAAAGTTGCTCTTTAATTTAACCTCAACTTTGAATCCAACCTTTCTGGTCAATGGATTAACTTCTGGAGCCAGTTATGTGTTTGACGTCTACTCGTCAAATCCAAAAGGATCATCAAATACAACAACTTTGATTGCTCAAACACTTTCAATGCAAAAGCAAAAACTTGGTAAGACATTTAAACGAACCAAACTTTAATCCCAAAATCCCAATTCAACTCTTGGATTTCTTTTCAATCGAAACTCTTTTTCGGTGACAAAAAAACAAGAATCTTTAAAGACAACTTTTGACGTTAAAAATAGATGATTTCAATTGGAATCAATGTTTGTAACCTTGTCAGGATTGGCCAAGCAAAAAAAGAGTAAACAAAATTTTCTCAAGAGTTGGAGTTTTTCGTCTGATGCTCAAGTAGAGTGCAATTATGTATTAACATTTTTTTCTCATCAACCCAAGTCAACCCAGAACCAGGCAATACAACCAGATACAATAACAACCAAGTTAATCAAATTACTATCTTAATCTCTACCAAGACTTGTGTGTTCTTTTAGCTCAGCAAAAACACGAAACGTATATCATTCTTACCTTTTTTTGTTCCATCATTCATTCCTTCTGCAACTTTTCAACGTTTTTGCTTCTCAGTGAAAATGCTCTCTTCTCTCACTCACTCATTATCATTACCATTTACATTGTCTTGTCAATTGATTGATCATGTAAAGTAAATTACTCTTTTCTCTTGAATAACATACACATTTCCATGTACATGCAAGTTCATCTTGAAACAATTTCAGCTTGAGAATCACATCATTCAATCAACATTTTCAGTTTAAATGAAAACCAAGCCCAAGTGGCTGTTCAACTTGATGCAACAAGGTTAATCAGCTTGCATCAAAATTGGATCAATTTCCGCTTCTAAACCTTCTCAACGAGTAAATTATTTTCAAAGAAAGCTTTCGATTGTAAAGTCTTTAAACCCTGAAACATTGTAATCATTTTCATCTTGCACATAATACATTTTAACAAGTCTTGAATAACTCGATTCACCTATGATGCTGAGAGGAAAAATTTTAATCATCATGATGGAGAATCTTTTCTTTCGTAAAAAATAATGAGTTTTATAACCATCTATTACTATTAATATTAGGCTCGTCATGATATTGTGTTGAAATAATGAGAATATGCGAAACAACTGGAGAAGAGGTTAAAAAATGTAACAAAGATGTAAAGTTGAGACAAAATATTTCAATAGCGATTAAAAGTTTGAAGTAACGAGCAAAGGAAAGACTAGAAAAGTAAGTTTGTTAGTTTTAAAGAAGTCAAACAATCTCAAAATGAACAAAATAGACAAAACTATTTATACAAAAGCTGATAACCTTTCACTGAAAACTTGTTCCTTTTTTAGAAATTTCGTCTCATGTTCTTTATTGTTGTATTTTCATAATGAGATCAACGAACACTCAACAGTTTATTTTCAAGAGACTTTCTCCATGAAAAATTTTCCAAAATTTCGATTGTCCGATAAACGATTTTCACAAAAAATTTCAACTTCTTCTGAAAAAGAAAGGAATCGAATTTGAGGAAAAACTTTTTCAATCCAAGAAAAAGTATGAAAATTACGTGTTTTAGATGCCACTTGTGAATATCGAAATCAGAATTTTTCGCTAGAATCTGATTAAAAATTCTTTTGATTCGATATGAAGCTTCCTTTTTGGAGTGAAAATTTTCTCGATTTTTGTTGAACAATAAGTTTAGTTGAACATGGCATTACAACTTAAGCAAGACAAATCTATTATTCTGTTCAATTCCAAGATTAGCCATAAAACAAGCAATAATTGAAGAGTGTAAACTGGTCATTGTCAATAAAATGAGCCCATTTTGGTCTTAATAACCTTAAAAAATGGTTCAACTTGGATAATCTAAAAAAGTGTAAAATTATTGAGTGGAAAAGGTTGCGAAAAAACTCATTCATTCTAATATAAAAAAATTGTTGACATTAATATTATTGTTGATATTGGAGAAAAGAAGAAGAAGATGAGAAAAGATGAAAACAAAGCGAGTAAACAAAAAGATGGAGAAACAATATTTTCTTTGTTGAACAGAGAGAAGCGCAAATTCAACACCATTTACATTATAATCACAAGTCATGGAGTATATCATGAAAAATGGTTTAAAAATTTATTTTGATATTGAACTTTTGCTGCTGCAATCCAATCGCTAAAAGATATCTGGATAAAAGCAGATAGTAAAGTAAAAAAGTGTGAAAAAAAAGAAAAGCCAGAAAATGGTTTTTATGGAGACAAAGTAAAGAAAAGAAAAGGAGAAAAATGTTTCATGATGAACAAACACACAGATTTTGTTCAGGTAATCAGAACATAATCCTCATCTTATTCTGATTACTTTTACCTTACAACTTGATCGAATCCAAAGAAAAAGGAAGAAAAAGAGACAAAATTTACTTTATTCACTTATCATTTTATACATTTTCAACTTTCAATTCTCTCGACAGAAAAAAAAGTTCGAAATTATCATCATTGACAGAACTATCATCATCAATATCATGATTGTTTCTTTATCTCCTTTTTTTCAGGTTTAGGAGAAAACTTGGCTGAAATAAAATTCGATCCATATCTTGCTGTCCTTTCAGCACTTATCTTTACTCTTGTCCTTGTGGCCATTATAATCATCCTCATCATTACCATTCGTAATCGTGAAGATAAATGTGATTCCAGGAAAACGGTTAAACCAATCGAGTAAGTTGAATGCAATAAAATGCCCTTGAAAATGGAATTTGTTTTCTTTCGAATTTCATTTTTTTCCAAATTTCCTTTTTCCTTATTACATTTTGCCTTTAGTCATGTTCAATACAATTTCACATTATCTCATTATCCTGTTATCACTCCCAGTAAATTGGATAACTTTGTTTTTCATTTTTCTTCACTTTTCCTCCCACTTCGATTTCACCGACTTTTCTCTCTCAATTAAGCTGACCAATTCTCGAACTTTACACTTTTCACTTTTTACTTTCTCTACCCAAAGAGTGATAACTTTTCACTCCCTGTGTTTGTGGTTGCATTCATTTCCTTTGACTTGTCTGGATAAACCTTGTCTTGGTTTACCTTGACTTGAACCTTGTTTGATCAACCCAATGAATCTTACGAGTGAATCAAAGTAAACAAATTTCAGCTCACTTTACCTTCTGTTCAAGTTAATTACCATCTTTCTGGTTTCACTATTGATTTAAAGATTAATTGAACTTGAGATTGTCAGTTGAAGGTGAAGTTTGGTGTAAATGAAAATATTGAACATGAAAATTCCTTTTTTTTCAAAGTTTGCTTTTCTGTTTCAATTTTTACCCATTTGTACAACATTTTTCATCAAAATTAGTTTCGAGTCTTTGTGTCAAGTTTATTAAGTTTAATTAAATTTTACTCTTCATTTGCCTTTTGCTCATTCAACATTCAATTTTGACTTGCATGTAAATAGTCGGAAAAGGTTGGATAAAAAAAAGTCTAATTCACTGTTTTACTTTCATTTTGTTTGTTAGAAGTGTTGATGAACCAGAAAGCCAAGGGCCTGATGTTGTTCCTTCATCAACCAGATCCAATGTTGGTGAGTATCAAAAGACTTTATGATAAATTGTTGGCATTATCAGGAGCATCATAAAAGTTGCCTTGTAATAGGAGAAGCAAGAGATGAGTTGAAACAATTTGCAACAATCTAACTTGTTAATTTTCGAGGAGAAAAGAAACAACTTTTTAATCGATAAATCATGTTGAGTGAAAAGCAACTCAATTAATTTGCAGTGTTGAAAAGAAAACCAAAAGCAAGTTAATCAGTCAAGACGCTTTCAGAGTGAAATTGAACCTTTTTCGAAAATAACCATTCTAAATTCTTGTTCCATGAATCTTCTTTAATCTTTTAAAAATCAAGTGTTTACATTGAAAAAAACTCCGTGTCTGATAATTCAACTCAAATTAGTTTTCAGAGTTAATCTCAAACTGATAGGTTTATTTTCGCTATCGATGATTAGAACCTTCAAATTTTCAAACATAACATGAATTGTACAGACTTTACTGGAGAGCATTGAGCCAGATTTGAATAAGTCATCGACAAAAATATTACCTGAAAAAATGTTCAAAAAAAGGAAAGACTGAATAAGACTTGAGAAGAATATCGTTTTATCATTAGCAATCAGAAAATGTTGACCAATGTCCGAAATTGTGAAATGTGTAGGCAGTAATCTAGGCACTTTTCTTGTTTACATTCAGATATGGTTAAAATGAGATGAAAAGTTCTGATTCGTCAGTTTGAATCGAGATCAGTGATAAAAATTCTTACGCTTTAGCATGAGTAGGCCATGAATGATGATAGCAATTTACTCAATGTAAAGTGATAAGTGTCACCAAAAAGGAACCGAAAAACTTCATTATCCCTCTTTCCACGAGCTCTGCAATTTATCTCAAAATGGCCTATTAGATATAAGATATTTTCTATGTTGACTTTTTGGCGAACCAAATAATTATTTTGTCTAATCAAAAGATAATCTTTATTATATTGAATACAAACGAAATCAATCTTGTAACTTAATATTTGCAAATGAAATAGCCATATCATTGATTACCAAAACTAGAACTAGTTAGAGTCTTATTTTGGTTCGGCTATTTTGAGCATTTCACCTTAAAATAGGGCCACTGCAATAAAATAAAAAGTTAGTAACTTTCAAGCAGTTAGAAGTTTTCAAACAAATTTTCAAACCCATGTTTTCCATCAGAAAATAAATCTTCCTCAAATTATTCCAAATGGAGTGGACTTTTTTACCTATCCGTTGAGAGACATACAATACTTACGTACTTACATTCCGAAGGGTTGGATTGCCTTCAACCTATTAGGAAGACTCTTGTTAACTACAACTTGATCATGCAAGAGACAAAGACTATTACATTTGAAAGACAAGAAATGCTTTGATATTTTTGATCCTCGATTGACCTTGAATTTATTTTCAATCTTGACAGTAAAATAAATGTTGAAAGGCTCAGCCCATAAGCATCATCAAGTATCAGCTAATTGAAATTGTACCATTAAATGGTTAATCTGTTATCCATCCAATTCCCTGATCCTATTAATGATGCTTACTCTCTGGTTAGAATCAAATTGTTGATAAAACGGAATAAAAGTTGATTCCATTTTCTCGTTATTCTTTAGTTTGATCTTTTTTTTGTTTCTCGGATGATCATCATTAAAAGACGAGAAGACACTTTATCTTGTGACTTGCTTAATGTTGACTGCCATTGACTCTGTTCAACTTTAATGTTCATCTCTTTTTGTTGCCACTCGGAGCAAGAGACTCGGATGAGTTAACATTATCAATTCTCGGTGCTAAAGAAAATGAACCAAAAAGAGAAGAAGAAGAAGAGAAAAAAAAGAAATGAACAAAAGTAAAAGCAGGGAAAAGATGAAAAAACACATTTCTCATCTCATCATCATCTTACCTTTTGTACAGAAAAAAAAATTCTCACTTTTTCTCCATTTCTATTTTTCTCACTTTTCCCATTCTTTGCATCTTCAACTCTATTTCATGGTACAAAAAACAAATGAACATTTAGCAACGTTCAATATGTTTTTACAAGATAACTCTCAGTTGGGCCAAGAAAACTTGAATGGAAACAATTTCAACATTGAAGTGACCAATAATGATGTCGATACATCAATTGATACCAGCAATAATGACAACACCAACAACAACAATAACGTCAACAACATTAACAGCAACAACAACACCAACAATGTCAACAATTTAAACAATTGTTTGAATAAAAAGCAACATTGTGATACAAGTTTATCAAATGGAATCAACTTTACCAATTTTACCGTCATTAAGAAAAACATGTCTGATGGATCATCGTTTGATGGCGATTATGGCTTCACTCAGATAACATCCATTGACGACTTTGGCAAGGTAAAGGATTCAAAATGAGTGACAATATTTAGTTTCATTTGTCAAACATTGATTCAGTTAAAATCTTTCAACGTCAAAACTTGACGCAAATACAGACAACAAAAAGATATCAATTTAAATCCGATAAATCAAATTGACTTGAGAATTGCAAGATAAAGCAATTTGTTCAATTTACTTGTTCAAGTTGTTCGAGTTGAAATGAGAAAATTTGTATTCTTTTCGTTTGAATCAGTTATTGATATTTTTTTGTCGATTGCTTCATGTGTTGGGTTTTGAGACAATTGATGGGAAAAAGTTTCTTATTGTCTCTCTATTCTGAGTAACTTCAATTTTTGATTCTTTTCGCTCTTTTTTACAGTGCATTGCTCAATATATGCCTTTTGATGATAAAGCCTGCACCTTGAGTGGAACAATGGATCGACTGACCAAGCCCAACTTGGATCCAAATTCAATTAAACAAACGGTTTGTTGTTTGATGAAACGTTATATTCTAGTTAATCAATTACTTTTTTTCTGCCTAAAAATAGAGTCTAGACAAGAATAATCCGAAATGATTGAATTGATTAGCAAATAAAAAATGATTCATGACGATTTTCCTCATTATTTTCTTGTCTTTTTTTTCTATTCAATTGATCTCGTTTTGTACAAGAGAAAATCATTCTTTGCAAAGGAATTTACAGATTAACATTGAAACTTGATTCTTTCATTAATCTGGAATAACAAGTTTTACGAAAAAAAAATTTCTTTGAGTCAACAAACTGTCATCGAGTTATCGAGCAATACTTTCAGATGCAATGAGGAATCAATCATTTCGTCTATATTTTTTGCATTCTTTGGAAATCTTTTTGGACAGAGCTCTTTCAGCTTCGAAAACTTACTTTGAATAATTGGCATTATTTCATGGAGCTCAACTCTTACTATTCCTAGTATTTTCAAGATTCTTTGCATATATTTAGACTTTTATCATGAGTCAACTCATTGAATCATTTTCAGTGTTTTCATACTTTCTGGACAAGTTTGTCAGTCTGTCTGAACAGTGCAACTATTAATTGCCTAAAAATGTAAAATTGCTGTCGATTCGAGCAGAAACTCTGATTATTGAGAAAGAGTTGTCCTTTGAGATTTGAAAATTGAATGTTTTTACTTTTTTTTCGTAAACAAGTTTCTTTGAGAAAACGAAATCAATTCGAAAGAAAAAGACTGATTTTTTATGTTTTGGAAAACATTTAAATTTCAATTTAAATTGCATTCATTGGATTCTGAAAGAAAACCATTATCTTACATTACCAATTGATGTGCATTTCCACTTGAGCAGTTGCAATGATAAATTTCCGTTTTATTCGTTGCTCTTTTATTCATCGAGCAACAATCCAGACTAATTTTTATTATTTATTCATTTCACTTTTCATTATCATACTGACTTACAGAGTATTGGACATCTATTTGATGGTAATGACGGTGAATACACTTATTCAACTCCAGTTTGACACTTTTCATTGGATCAATGGATTACCCTGTCTAGCCAAATTTACAAGGAAACTGATGAAACACTTTCTAAATAAACTGGACAACTATAATGATTGTTCATTTAAATATAAAAAAATCTTGTTTTCTATCAATTTTTTTACGCAACTTTACTTTTCACATTAAATGTTTACGAGTCATCCGGCTCCATCTGTTATCTTACAGTGAAACTATTAAACTGAAACTGTTTACCAAAACAATCTTGTCTTTCATTCAACTAGTTTGTGCACATCTGCAACACAAACAATTCAGCCTTTGATGAATTGACACTTTGGGTGCATCAAACATGTTTCCGTCCTCAGAAGTACTTTATAAACAGTTAATAGATTGATCGTTGTAAGTAGGTCTTGTAGTCACCATTTCTCAGTAAGAAAGAACAATTGATTAAAGAAAGAGTCCTTCAACAGATTTATATTCAGTTATTTAAAAAATATAACACAGATGCAATAGAAGCACAGTAATAATTCAGTTAGTTCTACACCGAAAGATTGTTAAATTCATCATTAGGAAAATGGTGTTATCCAAGCAATGACTGGAAATCATTGATATTAATTGTGACGAAATGTCAAAACCAGCTGATTCGCCTTTGCACACACTCATTCTCATCCATTTTCACTCCTTCTCCAAAACTCGATTTTGCGCTTACCTTGACCCCCAAAGGGGGAAAACATGATAACAAGTGTTTTTCTGACCGTCTAAGGGTCCAATAGCATTCTCTTTGCTCCCTCATTCATTTGTATATAAATCATAACTTTTGAGAGAATAAATCACTTAGTTCTTCACCTTTAACAAGCTCTCTTGCTTACTAAGTTACCTCTGGAGGAATCAGTCCAACCTGACTGAACCCCAGAGTGCCACCCCACCAAATCAGCTCCAGTTCTCGCTGATCCTGTTCTCCGGTCTCATTAATAATTAAAGTCATTAAAACTGAAGTTTCAAACCGATAAGCCATTCGATCGACAGAGGACATTCAATTCTTTTATTAATCAGCCAATTTTCAGAAAAAGAAAGGTTGCAGGTTTAGTAAGTCGTATTTCAGAGTATTATTGCGGTGTTCATTTGCTGATTCAAATTCAGTTGTTCAAGTTCTAGGTAAATCCAGCTAAAACTTGTATCCAGAATCTTTACTATCGATTCTTACTCGACATTCGTAATTCGAATTAGGTTGTGGTGATACCGCGCGTTTTTTTCATTTCACGTCTAATAGCCGCATATCTCTTGTAATGCTGAGACTACAGAACTCATGATCAAATCATGTGCTTCGTCAGATTGAAAAGCAATAAGTTCGTACGTTCCTAGTGTTTAAAGGTCACTTCTGTAAATGACATTTACAGGTCAAATAACGCGGAGACCCTCAATGACCTTGAGCGTTTGAGTTTATGGACAATATCGAGATCTGACTTATGGGTCTCGACTTTTTTATTAACATTTTTTTTGGAATAGCACAACGATTTAAAGATTTTTCATCGCGTGGATTGTTACAACCGAAATTCTCACATCAGTTCCCATGATGATAGTTGCTTGTTTGCCAAGAATCTCTTTCAAGGCACCGATCACATTATTTATTCCTATCAGTTTGGCATTCATTTTTGGGAAAATTTTTGCTAATTTGATCAAACCTTTTTCGTCTATGGCACTTTTTGTCTTATAGTCAACTACACATTGCGAATGAAACCATATTCAATATCACCAAATCTTATAACTTCATGATAATTGCTATCATCCTTTACACGAGTAATGATGAACAGTATCAATTTTGGACGACGAATCTCTTTGTTATACTGCTTTTGATGGATGGATTCCAAGATTCCACACTTTAAATCTCAAAACGACCGCCATTCTAGTATTCCGGTTGTCCAATACTAGCCTCTTTATCTTCGCTAAACTAGATTAAACTTGATATGAAACGTTTTACAGCATCCTCGGTTAGTTTTTCAAAGATTAACAATAAACCAACGACGATCTTTGACTTCACATCCTTTGACAATTTTTGAATCACATATACCGAGCGTTTTTTTGTCATTTTACGCATTCATGAGGCATAACTCATGAACGTTTAGTGCTACAGACTCAAGACTTGAAGTATGAGCTTTTACAGATTGCACCACCATAATTTCGAATACTCAAGCTCATTCAAGGTCAATTCTTCATTTGACTCTAATTGACATTGGAAGGTCATTTTCTAAAATCGCATTCGACTTCAGAAAATGACCTTCCGCTGCCAATTAGAGGTCAAATGAAGAATTGACTTTGAATGATATTGAGTATTCGCACTTATATTTGCGCAAGCTTTATAAGCTCATACTTAAGTCTCAGGTCTGTAACACTAACCTTTCGGGAGTTTTGAGTGCATGAAGGCTTAAAACGAAAAAAACCCAGGTATTCCATTTGACTGCGTTGGGTATGAAAATTTATCTTTATAATGAACTTTTGGATTGCCTGTGCACAAGCCATCAACTTGTATAGGTTTTTCGGATAAATCCAAAGTAAATTCTTTAATAATTGGCATTGATATTTTTGATTGCAAGTGCAGTGTCATTTATCATTTTAAACTTACGATCACAGTCTTGCGGAGTAATACCGATGAATGAAATCCTCTTTTTTTGACTCAACGCTTTGGCTCTATCATTTCTCACGACTTGACAGACTTATAGGGGCAGATAAGATAGTCTATCGGCTTTTCCAAAAACCACACAAGTTAGAAGTAAATAACTGATCTAGATTTTATATTTTTCAAGGAAACAGACATTTTTCATACTAAAATAAGTAAAATAATTTTCTGTAACTGAAGTTCGCGTCAATTTTATGATTTTGAATTTCATTTTTTGCGGTTTATGAGTTACCTTCAACTTTAATCTTTGTAGTTCCTTAGTGAAATATTGTGAATTGTGCTGTAAATTAAAAATGATGCTGATTTAACATAAGCAGAATATGCAATAAAAGAATTAGAAAGATAAATAAAGTTGCGGAGGAATTTATTGCAGAAAGATGCAGTGGTTTGTAATGTTATTCTATTTCATTACTTAAAAAAAATAGGTACAAATTGTACAAAAAGCAGTCAAAAATCATTTTGTAATTGAAAAATAAAGGTTTAATTTGTTTAACAAAAGTTTCTCACGCTTTTCCACGCAAAAAAACTCTTTTTCACTTTCATCTATTTCTTAATTAATCATTGAAAGTTGATCAAGAAGAGGACTTAGAATTACTTCTCAACGCGAAGTGAATAAGGTTCAATAACCTGTATGTAGAATATGAAAATCTGGACATAACTTTTTATATTTGACATTTTTGATGAGTCATTGAGAATCAAACATGCAGTTCGAGTGTACTGATTTTATTTTGGAGCTATGAGAATCAACCCATCATTGGTTTTCCAGGATTAAGATAATTAAGTATTAGTAAAATCATTAGAGTTCTGCTCCAAGTTAGCTTTTTTTGTTTTCAAATAGTCTCGTTAGTAATTGATAGATGTCACTACCTGCAAAACACAGCTGAAAGTTAGTCCTGCACATGAAAGCTGAACTGCATTTGAATAGTTTAAAAGAATCGCTTGTAATGAAAAACTCGAAAGACAATTTCAGATCAAAACGAGATGCAACTGATATTAAAAATCGATTATGTATTATGAAACTTGATGCTCTTGAATTAAGATGCAAATTGTGTTTTAATCATTTCGGACAAGTTTTTAAAAGATTGTAAGTTTGTTACAATTGTTGTCATTTTGTCAACACGTGAGTCAGCATGAAATGTACAAAAATGCAATATGAATTGGACTTTTTACGCATCATTTTGTTCAACAATTAAAACTCGAATTTTCAATAGATTATGGAAAATTATAGCAATATACAGCAAAGGGGGTAAAAGTTTGTCAATTTTCATTATTTATGTGAGAATTTAATTGTTAATTAAACTTTTATTGATAAGGACTTTTTCATGTTTCAATATAAATGAGATTGTCACACGTTTCTATCACAATTGTCGGAATAAACTCCCATCAACTCGGACCTTTTGAAAGTCCACATGGTTGATTGGTTGATAAGTGGTTGAAGCTGATGTTGCTGATGGTTTGAATGGTTATTATGAAGATTATTTTTATTGTCATGGTGATGTGCATGATGATAGTAATGGTGAGACTGAAGAGTTGGATGAAACTCGAATTCATTCAAAGTGGACAAAGTTGCAGGCCCTTGAGTGGTGCTTGATGTCAAATAAGCTGAAGGTGATGAAGTTGAGTTGCGATTGTGAAGTGTTGATGAGCAAAGTGAACCGGTTGAGGTTGACCCTTGCCCATCAAATAGAGAGCAAATGGTGGCTGGAGGTTGACACGAGTGGTTATCATGGATGGATGACAATTGGTTTGATCGACGTTTCAAGGTTCGTACAATACTGTAAAGTATACCAGCCACTATGGCAACCATGGTAACCAGTGCCAGGAAACAGTATACCAAAAGAAAGGAAGATGAACAGAAAACGTTTGATTCATCGTAACCCGAAGGACAGTGTTTAACACCATCACAAAGTAAATCAGGACTGAGACAAAAATTGAATTCCGGACACTTGTAAAGGCAATCAGTGTTTCTCAGGGTTTCACTCGTTTCCGTTTTCCGAGCATTTACAGGAGTCTTTTGAGTAACCCAGCGAAAGTTGAATGTAGCCGAAGGAGTTTCAGCAATTATCTCAATGATGAACCTAAGAGAGGAAGAGTTGAAGAATGAAATGGGTGAAGAAGGATACATTGAATCTTGAGGTCTCGATTGGTAATAGTGTTGATCTTGATTAGGTGTTGATGAAGAGGCAAAGTTGTTGTGCTCATTTGGCGGAACCAAAGTAGACCGAGGTGATACCGGTGAAGTCATTGAAGACCAGGAAGAAGATCTTTCTTGCATCAAAGATAAAGATAGATTGATGGTCTCTACATGATCATTTCCGACTCCATCAAGTCCAGTCGAGTTGCTTCGAGCACAAATGGTTGCCATCGGCCTCCAAGGTGAATCCCAATAAATGATGAATCGATTTTTCGACTCGCACTTTTGACCTCTGCGAAAAGAATAAAAAAATTAGTTTTTCCATTCATATCAAATCCATTCTAACAAAGCTTATTTGTACAAAAAATAATTCCTCATTAATGTTGAGCAACAATCGAAAAGTATTATTCAACCCAACATGACGAAACATTGTCTCGATAGATTTTACTTGTTGAGTTATTTACAAAATGAACTTTTTCTCGAAAAGCTTTTCTTTTTTTCACAATTTTACGTTCGAAAAGATCAGTTTCAAAATTGTGAAATCCAACAGTTTGATAAAAATAAAAACATTTTTTACTGAAAATTTCCATGAAGATTATCGAGAAAAAAAGTTCTCTCCATTCTTTAATCTCACCTATCACCTGAAATAATCCCTGATGCATCAGACGAAAATGAATAATCTTTGAAATCTTTTTCTTCTGTTCACCATTTATAGACACTTTTAATGTAATCTTTTTTCCCTATTCTCACCAAATTGAACTAAAGATCACATTATACATTTTGCTAATAATTTAAAACTCATTTGATAATGCATTTGATGGAGAGTAAAAGATTAACATTTTAAGTGAACAAAAAAAGTTGAACAGTTCGTCGTCTTGATCACATCAAGATTCATGTTTGCTTATAAATATTTTTCCATCGATTATTTCCTCTTCTTTTTTAATACAAGATTAAATCTGCTCTTTTTTGCCCATCTTTACCCTGTAAAGTTCCCATGTGAATAGCGAGTTAATTGAGCTGGAAAGCAAGGATGGAAAAAAAGATGATGAAGAAAAAAAAAGTTGCTGCAAAATTTCGTCTTGAGAAAAAAAGAGATTTATTATGAAATTAAAACTGCAAGAATCGACTTGGAGTAAAGTTGTTCCTTCATCAGAATTCAACCCTTTTTTTACTCTCGTCTAAACTGCTTGTAATCAAATGCAGTGAGCAAAAAGAAGATTGGAATAAAAGAAAGACTCAAAAGAGAAACGAAGAGCAATCAATTTGCAAAGTAATCGTTGGTTAATATCATCATTTAGAGTCAACAATTTTTATTGCACTTTCGCCTGCTTGGCTGGGAGTAAAATCATGAAGAGTGAAAAGGAAAAACTAAATTTGGTTAAACTGGCAACATTAATTTATGGAGACAAAAAAGTCGACTCGAGTTGATCCATCATTATTAACGTTAAACTCAATAACCAATGTCAGCTTCAATATTGAACTCGAACATTTTTTTCCCTCATTCTTTTAATTGTATCATTAGACAAAAATGTTTATAAAACCAGTGATTGATGAAGTCGAAAGTAAACTGAATAAGAGCAGCATTGATACTTGTGCATCTTTAATGATTAATGAGGCTGGAAAAGAAGAGATAATTGAACATTTAGAATATGCGAAAATCTGTGCAAAGGTGACATTGAATTTGTTATCAACTTTACCTATGTTGACCTTTGGTCAAGTTCAATTTGCAAATGAATTTCAAACCTTTTTAGTAAATGAAAAAGTTTTGTTGGAACAGTGAAGCAAACAAATCAGTGTGATGTTGCCATGAATAAATGAGCAGACAAAAGAGTGAGAATTTCGACTTTCGTTTTCAATCGATACTAATAGAAAGGTAAACAAGGGCTGATAAGGTAAATGTCAAGTGAGATTAAATTGTATCACCATTGACATGCTGATGGGTTTCATGTTAAAACAACAGTTTGCTTCAACCTTGATGCTGGTGATGATGAAGGTAAATAACGAAAATCTGATAAAATAACAGCATCAGTATCATTACAACTGTGATTAAGTAAACAGTTGAATAACCCTCAAGGCCAATTGTTTGGAAAAAAGAACTTTCAATTTCATTTTCGTTACAAGTTTAGCTTTTTCAATTCAATGCGATTCTTCGTTTTTTTCTGTCGTCAAATTTTCCTTTTCCTTCAAGCGTCAAACAGTTACTGACAAATATTGTTTAAACAAGCTCGATATTACTCTTGATGTAATAATGAAATGATGAATGATACTTGAATTTGATTTGCGAAATTAACAAAATTTCACTTTTCGATTCACATCTTTGTCAACATGAACTTTCATTTCAAGAATTTTTTGTTTTCTTTTGAAATTTTAATTTATCATTTTTCTGCAACATTTTTTCTAGTCTTTTTGCTTGCAATTGAAGGTGAAGAAATTGAACTTGAATGTGATATGTTTCAATGATGGTAAAGATGGTTGATGTAGAGATGAAAAGTAAAACTCATTTCCCTCGAGAATCGTATCATGAAAAAAGGTTACTTTTCTATTCTTTTCTTCATCTCATTTTGTTTGAGCTCATTTTGTAGTGCTATAAGTTTAGTAGGCACTTAGGTGAACAATGGAAACTTTTTATGAGTAAAATTTTTCCAAGCATTATTTTTCGAGCATTTCTACTACAAAAGAGGCGAATAAGTTGAAGTAGAAAAAAAGAAATATTTTTTTCCTTCTGAGCTTTTTTTCTTACTGCATTGGAAAAAAAGAAGTCAGGATGCACATATTCATTGAGACAGTTCCGGAGGAGTGAGCAATTTCAAGTTGATTGTGTGTTGACTCTTGTGTTGCTCATTATCAATTTGACTCGTTTAGTTTTTATTGTTGTTGACTGTTGCTGAGTCTTGTTATTCTCGACTCTCTTTCTAGTTGACATTGGGAATGAATTGAAACGAGTTGTTAACAGAAGAAGGAGGTTACATTTGAAATCATCACTTGTTGCAAGAGGCAGAAAAAGTGTTGACAAATGTGAAAGTTGGAAGAAGAAAGAAAAAGGGAAAAAAGGAAAGAATTAAGAAAGAACTTTGAACCCAATGAACATGAATTTATTCAACTGTTGCAAAATTTCCATTGAAAATCAAGTTGAATAGAAAAAGAAAGCAAAAAGCAAAACTTTTTCATTCTATGGATGAATAGACGAAAAAATAAGAGTTCGGTTGTGGAAATAAACAAGTAGGTGGAAGTTGAGAACACTTTTGAACTCAAAGAGCACAGTGCTGGGAGTTGAATCTGGGAGTTCAACTGGGAGTGATTACAGGGAGTTGAAACTGGGAGTAAGTTCTGGGAGTCGAACTGGGAATGAGTACTGTGAGTGAGTATTATCAAATCTTACTGGGAGTAATAACTTGGAGTTGGACTGGGAGTGAGTATCGAGATGGAAATGCTGTGGGGGAAATAAATAAGAATTGGAATGATAATGTAGAAAAAAATATTTAGAGCCAAAAAAATGAGTTTGAGATGATTTTGTACAGTTACCTTGATAAGTTAATAAGATCAGTGTATAAATGTATGTAAAGGAAGATGATTTTTTCACTCAACTGATGTTCAAAGGTTTTACTTATTCATGATAAATATGAAAAGATTGGATAAATGCTTTCTTTTTGCCAGACTGTTGCAGCTTACATGAATGTTTTCACTTTGCATCTAAACCAGATTAGCCAGCACGCTTTCACCATGCTCAATATAAACCAATGAAATGAAAAAAATTTTATCAGCCTTTTTTGGGTGCATCAGAGTCTTGATATTTCAATAGCAGCCAAATAGGAAAAAACTCCCAAGGGTAAACTTCATCTTCATTCACATGTAATATTCATTCCTCTTCTCGTCGCTCTTCATCTTTTTTATCATAACCAAGTTTTTTTCCATTTGCTTCTTTATACTCTTTCCACACTCAACAATTGGATCTTGTGACTCATGTAAGATTCAAATGTTTAGAGAATCAAGTTTCCATCGAAGAGAGCAACTGAGGAAAATTTCAGATCAACAGATTTTCTTTATGCATCAATATTTAAATGGAAAAAATGAAAATTATTATTACAGTGTATTCTTTTCTTTAAATTCCACTTCATTTTCCACTCATTTTTTGAACCTATTCTGATGACATATAAATTCATCTTGCAGATTGTTTTGAAGTGAAATCATTAAGAGTCTTGAAATGTAAAGCTTTTTGAATGAAACTAGTATCAATTTAATAGATTGAGAACAGTAAAGAGAAGAGCACATGAAAGAGAGAAAATCAATTGCGATTCTTAATCAGCATAGAGTCGCATATTGCACGTGTTCAAGTAATTTGTAGGGAAGCTCAACATTCACTTTCTTTTCATCTCTTCTTTCAATAGCGATCCAAGGTTGAGCTTGTTTGCTAAACTAAAAGTAAACTCACTTTTCAATGAGATTTTATTTCACAAATTGTTAGTCTTATTATAAATATTACTGTATCAGATCATGTACAAGTATCCATTGCAAAATTGAGTTTATCACGAATTGTAAAGCTGATCAAACTTAAGTGCAACTAAATGGCTGTGAGAATAAAAGAGGAAAATTGATAAACACTGGAAGGTAGAGAGTAGATTGGATAAGATGATATCGATGAATAGAAGAAAACACGACTTAATAATGCTTTGCTTAACCGTTTATTGAACCTGAATACTGAATGCTTCAGTTGATTTTGATTAACTTTAAACAACAATTGTTGTAACAGATAATTACTCGTGTAAAGTGATGAATAGAAAAACAAAGGTTTAGGCAATTTTTTAGCTTAAAGTTAAACTTTTCTCCATATAAGTTTGTAACTAGTAATTATCAACTCTAATTGACTATTCAGTGTGAAAAAATTGTTTTTAAGATAAAAGAGAAAAAAAACTTATCCTTTCATGAATTTAAAACATATTTTTTCTCGTTTTTTCTCAGAAGCTAAATGCTGAAACCAGATTTTTCTATCATCACTGAGAGGTGAGAAAATTGATGAAACAAGAAATGAAGGACGAATAAGAGAAAAGTAGAGTGAAGACTTTTTCAAAGGTGCAAGTTGTCTAGAAGCACTTCTTTTTTATAATAACCCTCCTCGGAACATTTCCTTTTTTATTTATTTGAATATTTTGGCAGATGATAGTTCTAGTAAATTTTGAGACTTTCTCAACGAAGCTTAGCTGTCAGAGAGGACACTCAATTGTATCCGACTCAGTGCAGAGTATGTCTATGGACACTGCAATCTTATGGTCTCTTCTAGTCTCTCATGGTATGCAATACTTATTGTTCGTCAGATTGGTTTTCTATTGTGGTATTAATTATTCTATTAATTATTATAATATTTGAATCTATGGATATTTTTGTACATTTGCCGATCGGTATTTTTGTATACTTGTTGCCTTACCTTCTGGGTCGATATCCATTGATATGAAGTGAAACGAATTTATTTGGATACCAAACGAAAATCCATCGACATTTAAATTGATTATTGTTACTAAAATTATGATCTGAAGGCACTGTATAGCTGATTTCACCCTCTCCATCTGATTTAATTAAATCAATTGCATTGGTTGTACAATAATTGTTGGCAACAAATTCATATTTTCCCTCAAAATGGAAATCAGTGAAATCATGTAATGAACTCATTCCAGTTATAGTGAAATTGAGTACTGAATGTGGTCCAATTAGATTAAGAATGATTGGCGATGAAATGGTGGCCGTCAAGTTGGCCGAATCACAGAAACAGGCGACACTGAGAAGCTCATTGGTGACACTATCATAGACCCGTAACGTTGATGATGTTATCAGGTTTGATTGTAAGCTTGATGAAGATGGGGATGTGGATGATGTTGGGTGAGGCGGTGAAGAAGGCAATAATGGTGAAAATTTGTTTCTCTCTTTTACTCTTTTGTAAGCTGCTTTACCTCTTGTTGTAGACTGACTCGGTGAGGATGAGCCCGGGTAACAAGAGTACGTTTGAACAGGCCCATTAGTGGCTTGCTGGCAGGTAGATGTGGATAGTTTCAATGAGGTTAACCGTAAAACCAGTTTCTCACCAACTCTACCATTGAAATAATATGAACAGGAAACATCTGAATTACCTCCTCGACCATAATAAAAGACATTACGACTCGACCATATGTGACCCGATAATGATTGGGTTGAAGTAAAGCGACGATCACAAAGTGTACCAATGATTGGTTCACCCGACTCGGCCGTGTCAATAAACTCGTATTGAGCAGTAAATTTGGTTGGTAAATAGGTTAAACCAGGAAGACGGCGTTGAAATTGGCTAATCAATAGATTGGGTCCTTTGGAGAGGTAAGACTCTTTTGGATATGAGCAAGGAACCATTGAGTTGTATCCAGTGAAAGCTCGACCGCAAATTTTGGGTGAAATTTTCTCACAAAAATGTCCAATCAGTTTTTGCTGTTGTCTCTTTGGTGAAATTGGATATGATGATGATGATTTTGATGAATGAAATGGTTTCCCTGTTATTTCATCTTCACTAACAATTTCACTGATTTTCATTTCACCTGAATCACATTTTTCCTCTGTTGACCAGGGATGAGAGTCTTCGGTAAAATATGATATAAAGCGTAACCAAATTTTATCAAAACTATAAGGTGATGTAAAACGATACAAACAACTTGTATTGTGAGCAGTTGAAGGTGCCACCGTAGCCTCAATCCGACCAGACCGTGACACTGAGCCATCGTAAATGTATTCACACTTAGGATAACCCAATGGATTCAAGTCACTCTCCACACGTCTAGTTGAACCTAAACCAATGCCTTCTCTAGCATCAACTCGACCTCCACCTTGGCCTGTCTTGCTCACTTCACGGTTAACCTCCTTCTTAACCATGTTGACTTGAATGTTGATCTCAAACCGAGAATCGGAAAGTGCATTATCTTGGACACTTGTCAACACTAGCAACATTTCACCCTTGCTGGATGTCAATGTGGGTAGTGCTCCAGTCCCACAAAACTGAAGTAGTCTGGGTGAGCTAGTGCTCGGCCCATCGTAAACTGTTACTCTATCCAATGGACAATCAGATATGAGACCAGTTCGAGTTTGTTTACCATTGTTGGTCGACGATGATCCCGAAAAAATGGAAATTTTATACTCATTCGACTGGAGAGAAAAAAGGAAAAAAAAATTTAAAATGAAATAATTCGACAATAAAGTCATCAAATCAAACATGTCAAAATTTCTATTAGTTCAAGATGAAAAGACTATTTTTTATCCATTTCACTAGGAAAACTGAAGCTATAATTTATATCATTATCCAGCCTATTGACAAATTAATTTCATGTTTACAATTTCATCTTTCTTCATTTGAACCGATTAATACCATCAAGTTGGTTATAAAATGTCTTTTGACAAACTTTTTTCTTCCATCTCTAGTTTTTATTTGAGCAAAAAGTGAAATGATATATTTGATGACGATCATTATGAAAGGAGCTTTATTGATATTATTATTGATAATAGTTATTGAATGAAAAGAGATGAAAATGAGAAAAGCAAAGCAAAAGCAGAAGTGAAGGAAGAAGAAGAAAAAGCTAAAAGAAAAAAATGTTTAATTCAGTTAAGATTGCAAGTGAATCCAGGAATCAATTGAATAGCCTCTAATTGAACAAGTTGTAACTCTTTCAAGATGATGATGAAGGAGGGATTAGAAAGCTGATGAGAGTGAAAAAAGAGTCTAAAAGCTAATGGACATTCTCATGGGTGATTATCATGAAAGTCAACAAGTTTTCAGTGGCGAAAAAAGAATGACAAAGAAAACGAAATTTTCGCTTCTAATTGATTCACAGTTGAACATTGAACATGAGTTGGAATAGAACAAAAAATGTTTACTTTTCCTTGAAATTTTTTCACTCGATAAATGAGTTTTTCATGCAAAATGATTAAGAAAATTTTCTTTTGGATGAGTTTTGCTTCATTTAAACTGGAAAACTTGTTAACTCTTTTTTTCATGGAAAACAATGAAGGGTCAAAGTCAGTAATATTCATGAGTTTTTTTTGTTCGGAAAAAGTTATCATGGAGAATTGAAGAATGCTAATGAAACATGAAATTTGTTTTGTTCATTGAAAGGCAAATAGGAAAAGATTCTATTCTTGAGTTTCACCAGAAAATGAATCTTCATTATTATTTGCTTTTTTTACTTTTGCTCGTTTGTTTGCACTTATTTGGTTCATTTGGAGTTCAACATTTGAATATGAATACAAAGCTATCAAATTTTATCTGTAACAAGAGGAAAAGAAGTGGGAAACTGAGAAGTTGAACAGAAATGATGAACAGCATAGATCATGATGATGAAAAGGAAGAGTGAAAAGATGAAGAAGAAAGAAATAAATAAAATACAGATTATTATCGATATTATTTCTTCTTCTTTTACCATTATTTCTTACTTGATTAATAGTTATTCTAGGTCCAAGTCCGCTTCCTATCTGAGATGAGTCAACTTTCTGTCGAATCAGATAATGGCAAGTTTTATTTCGAGGATAAAATCCAGGATAATTTGGAGATAAAAGGCGACATTTATTGGGTTCCAGGCAATCATCGAATATTTGGTTACACAAATTTTCAGGTAATTTCATTCCAATCTCAGTGTTGTGTATTGATTCTGTAAAAGAAAAAGAAAAAGAATAAATCAATAAAAATCATTTTTCATTGCAACACTCTATTGGAATTGAATTTCATTCAATAGCAAAATAAAATTTAAATGGCAAATTGTAATTCTGATGAAACACGAAAATCAGAGAATCAAAAAAAAAATGCAAAAAATTTCCATTCAGACGCCAACTCGAAAGAAAATTCGTAAACAACAAAATCAATCAAAAAGAAGCAACAAATTCCAAGTGTAGAAAAAAACTAAAAATTCCCCAAAAAGGTTCGAATTGTCAGAACTAACCAGAAAGATTTCGAAAAAAACGGAACGGAAATATCGAATAACAAGTCAACCAGTTAGAGAACAAAAATTTTTAAAAAATATATTTCACTTCGTTATCCATTCAAAAATCGATTAAATCGATTGCGATAAATTTCAAAACAAAACCGAAAAGTTTCAAGTTGGAATTAAATATTAGAATCGAAATGAAAATTTTCCAAAATCTCGAAAAAATGAGTTTTGGAATGAAAATATCCAATACTGGTCCAATTGGTTACAGAATTAAATTTTTCATAAAAAGTGTTGCCTTTAAATCTGGAAAAATAAATATGTTCAGTCGATAGCAATAAACTATTCTTGTTTGCTTTTGTAAATTTACTCTCAGCAAAATGATATTCATCCATAACAAAGCAAAGGTAAAGATGAAAAGTAAGAGAAGGAAAAGGCGAAAAGAAAGCAAAAATTGTTGACATCTTTATGTGCGGCTTCACGCAATATCACATCTGTATCTCATCTTTATCTCTCATCTCGTTGTCATTTACAAAGAAACTAATGTTTCTCAACTGTAAGCTCATTTCAAATTGCAATCAATTGCAAGTTTACAAGGCCAAGAGTAGAAGAGAGGAAAAGGACAAAATTTCTTGAACCATGTGATCAGTATCTCTACTCGTTAATTTAACTTGACATGTACACGCTCACAATCATACAGATGCACATTCATGTCATTTGCTTTTGAAATGAAAATCAATCTTGAAACTCACCAAATCTCCAACAGTAAAGCAAAAGACAAACCAAAGTTTAAGTAAAGAAAAAATTGTAAAATTTTCCAACAATATTTGTCTTTAAACCAATTCGCGTCCCTATGCTTTTGCTTATTAAATTATCATTCAATTGATTTTTTCATCTTTTTTTTCGTCAAATTGAAGGAGGAATTTGCAATGATAATTTTCAATTTAATGTTATTCATTCAATTTTCAACTCTTTTTGTTTTCTTCATGTTGAGAGAAAAAAAACTTTGCAAACTTTTCAATTTACTTGGATGAATAAATTGTAATGAATAAACAAAGTTTATCAGATTATCGTGATTATCTTTACATTATTACATTTGCTGGTGATACTTTATGCTACAACTTGCTTTATTAATCATTCAAGATTAAAGGTATTAACAGGTAAAACAGATTATTGTCAACATTATGGATTAAGAGTTTATCAATACAAGTTGGAAATGCATTTTTCTCTCTTTTCTCTTTTCTAGTATAATGAGCTTCATGATTACATGTTTATCGATCACCAATTGGATTGAGGCAGATTATTTTGACATGAGAATGACCTCATGTTTATTACTTTCCCTGCTGGTCAAGGTTATTAATCAATTTTACTCATTCAATCATTAACAGTTAATTGATCTTGAACATGCATCTTTACCCTTGACCTAATAGACTTGATCAGCCGATCTAAACTCATTATAACTGCCAACACAAACTCACTGTAACTGATGAGAGAATGGGAAAAAAGAAAGACAATATCAACATTTCCAAGATGAGCTCAAGCTTCATGTTTTGTTTTGAATAACTTTTTTTTCTGAATTAACTTTGTTCTGTAGAAGAGAAAAAAATTGGAGTTTATTTTGATAGCAATTAAATTTGGAAACGAACGAAAAGTTGTATCGCTATCAATTGTTGAACTGTTGAATAACTAGATGGTGAAGATCCAGAGTTTCATTTAAGTTTGGTTCAGTTGAATTTTTTGTAGAAAAAAATGAACTTCGAATAAAAGAGTTGCAAAACAGAAGAATGGTGAAAAGAATTCATGAGAGAAGAATGCACTCGAGAATAGACTGGGAGTAGAATGGGAAGTCGTAAGATATAAATTCATTTCTCATTGTCTTACAAACCATGAATCAAAAGAGACAACAATCTGAGAGGCGTTTCTAGTCATCATTCATTGACTTTTTTATGAAACTATTTTTAAGGCGCTATTTTGGTGTGCAATTTGTTTGAGCAAAAAAGCAGAATATTGAAAGAAAAAACGAAAAAACATTCTGAAAGACTCTTTAATTTAGTCGCAGGGAACCTTTTGTCACTCAATTGTTTTATACTCAACTCTTGATCAGTAAAAGAGCTAAAGTCTTAACTGAATTATCTGTTGATTAACGAAAATTCAAGTCAGATTTAGAGCTTAAACTTTTCTCGCACTCAATTTAATCAAATTGCATTGGAAATTGTGACAAAAGTGATGAACCATGTTTAAAAATTAAAGGCGATTTTCTTTGATAATCAAATTTTCTCTGATAAGAGTTATTCTTAATTCAGTCAAGTAAAATTGAAATGGAAAGTAATTATTTAATAATAATCTGCTGGGAGTAAAGATTATGAATAAATGTTGTATAATTTAAAGAAGATTTATTTTCATATTTCCATTTCTTCCTTTGTCTTGCAACAAATCAACAAGATGAATTGTTGGATTTCCGAGTTTCAAGTAGAAAAGAATGAAGAATCTCAAGAAAACCAAGAAACTAATAACAATTTTCTACTATCTTATTATCTCATGAATCAGAATAAATTTTTAATATAAACCTTTAAATATAAAATAACTGAAAAAATGGAAAAGTAAAAGAGCAAATTTAATTCCAACATTTCAAGTAAAGCTATAATCAAAGCAGTTTTTCAATATCTTTTAAATGCTACACAAAATCTGACTTGATAAAGACTCTAATTTTGAAATATTGTGTGAAAAACTTTTTACATTCAATTGTCTTTAGCGATGAAAATGAATATTGAAATGAAGTTTCTTCAACTCAATCCAAGAATTCGGTACTCACCTGAATGTGTTGGTTGCTTAGGTAAAGCTGAGGCTGATAGGAATCTGTATGTTAAATAAATATTAAGTGGTAAATATTGACTGAAAAAAGCTCGACCATCTTGAAGTATAATTGATAATGTTAAAATATTTCCTTGGCTGTACAAAATGGCTCTTCGGCTCTGTCCATTATAATGCAAGAAAATTTGATTCAAAAGTCAGTTCCAGTGATGCAGCGTTTTGTTACAAGAGAGCAAGGAAATTCGTTGACAGTTGCGAGTTGATTCAATAGAGAGATGGAATGATATACAGGCAGACAGACAAGATTTGAAATTTATTTCAAAGTTGATGTTGGTGGTAGCAGCGGTCATTCCCAATGGCCAATACAGGTGATAAATTATGATGTTGAAAGAACAGAAGATGTGAACATGAAGTTTGAACAGGGAGTGAGAACAGGAAAGGAGAACAGTGAATGCGACATGGAGTGAGAACAGGGAGGGAGAACAGGGAAGGAGAACAGGGAGTGAAAAGAGAGAAACAAAAAGATAAATTAAGTAATGGTTGGTAATGTTGGATGGCAAAAAGGTGAAGTATATTAAGAATGAGAACAAAAAAGTATACGTCAATTACCAATATAAAAGCGTAAAGGTATAAATCTTTTCAACTGAGAAACATGGTGATGGTTATGATGATAGGAATGGTTATACAGAATACATTTCTTGCTGTTAATAACAAATTATTCTATTGGAAAACATTTTCATCCCAACTTGTTTTTTTGTTTTTCTTCTTGTTTCATCCCTTTTCTTGTTCATTATTTGTCCCTACTTTTGCCTCCCAACAAACTTGAGCTCATTCATCAGATGAGAGAGAGTAAAAGATGTAATAATCAACTAATAATTGAGATAACATTTGTTTTCTCTTGTTATCAGTTTAAGTAAATACACTTTTTACAATAGCAATCATTTTCGATACGTCAACAAAAATTGCATCATGAATGCTGAAATTGAAAGAACAAAAATGGAATCTGTAATTGATCAATAGTAAAGTAAAGGCCAAACTCGTTGATCGATCCAAAGTGAAACTCTATCAAAATGTTAAAATGCAAATTTTATCCTTTTCCTGTCGTTTACATGATTATCAAAAAACAGATTTTGCTGAGATTCCATTTTCTTTCATGAAATTAATTTTTTTCAATCAAATTTATTTTCCAAACCAACCATTGTCAGCATTTAGTGAACTCATTATTTTAAAGATTATCTTTGAATTATGTAAATGAATTTCTCTTCTGTTCAATTCTGTTGAAAGATTTGAAAATTCAATCTGATATGATTCACTCTGGACTAATGAGCTGCCCATTAATTGTTCATTAAAGTTTAACGTCATTTAAACAGAAAATTTGTAAACACGAAAATTTCGTTAACTTTTTTCTCTCATTTGGCGATAATGATTATGATAATTACCAACATCAAACTGACCATTAAAAGGCATTAAACTGTATACTGTTCATAATGAGATTTTTTGCACAAAAAAAGGTTTAATCAAAACAATTTGCTCAGTTGAACAGGGAAAAAGGGAAAATGATTGTTAATAAGTCGATTCATTAGACATGAAATTTCAATGCGAAAAAGAAAAAACGAAAAGTCGAATTCAGCAATTTCATGATGAATATCGAACATTATGAAAGTAGAAAAAAGTTGACCATTAATAACTAGTGATTAATCAGCTGAACAACAGAAGATGAAATATGGAATAAAGAATTTGAAAGAATCAGATTGAAATATTGACAGAGAAAAAGACATTTTCTTGTGATTCTTTGACTTTATCCAGCATCTTGCTGAGCCAAGTTTGCGTCGCGAATAAAAATGACCAGAAAAATGTCCATTTATTTATGGTGAAACTTGCAATTGAAAAGGGAAAGAGAAGAGAATGAGAAGCGCAAAAGGAGCAAAAATTGTCATCCAATTGTTTGATAAATGTTCATCTTCGGTCAACTGAGAAAAGTGTTTTTGTTAGAGTTTATTCTTGAACTGGAAGAAACATGAAGTTGTTGGCAAGTTGAAGTCAAGTAAATGATGAGTCGAGATGAAATGAATAACAATTTCAAGTGAAAAATTGAGTTTCCAATCATTTTACTTGAAACCATCAAAACAGTTGCAACTCTTGAGTTGACAATTTATTGCAATATTAAAGATTACATTGATACAAGCAACTATTGTTGATGAAAAAAATGTAAAGCTTAGGTTCAACAACAAAAGCAATAAGTTGAATATTGAATTATTAATAGGTGAGTTGGGTGAGCGGCATAAAGAGATCAACGAACAAAACGAAAAAAGAAAATAGTTTTATTTTCATTTTTCTCACATTTTTTCTTCTTCTCATTTATATTTTACTTTTTTTTCTTTGCTTTGCTTTTTTTTCTTCCTTTTGTCTACTTCTTGTTGTATCGTAGCAAAAGTATATAAACATGTTATTTACCACTCTTTGTTGTCTAATAATTCATGAACATGACATTCTCAATGTAATACTTGTTTTCATCCTTCATTCCTTTTATCATTTCACTTTCCATTTTTGCTCTTTCATCTCTTTATTTGTTCATCTCTTGAGCTTCGCCATCATTCCTCAACAGTTTACCTTTTGACTTTTACCAGTGAGAATAAAATTCTCAGTTTTCCACTCTTGTCTACACTTGGGCAACTTCCGTTTTCCGCCACTCAATTGTCATCAATTTGATTCTCATTATTGTCTTTGTTTTGATTCTCTGAGTTTCTTCTCTCAACAACTTTTTCTCTTTACTGCAAACATGATGACAATCGAAGCATTTTCATCTTGTAACAGAAACTTGTTCAACTCCAAGTGACCAAATTCATAGCTATTGAGTTGCTTCATTAATATCAAGTTGTACTTTAATTTAGCATTTTTGTTTTCTTCTTCATTTTTCTTTCTGGAAAATGTTGAGAATTTTTTTCTCTTTTAAGTTCTTTTTTCGTGTCTCACTCATAATGTTGAGTCAAGATTGTCTCGAGAGAAATCACAACAAAATGTGAAGAGAACACAAAAAATGATGAAAAGACAAGTTATCAACTGGGAGGGAAAAAAGTTATTTTTACAAATTTATTTTTATTCTTCATTTTTTTGCTCTTTATTTTTTCGCCGAGAATATTTTTCCAGTCTTGCATCAACTTTTCGTGTTTCCGAAAACTTCTCAACAATCAACTTGTCAAAAATTCTTGCTTTCAGATTCAGGGATTCGTCTAATGGAAAGAGTGAAATTTTGATCGATATTTTCGATTTTTTTCTTTCTACAATTAGAAGTTTCAAAAGTGAACCAGAAAATGTTATCTTTTCTGAATAAATAAACATAAACTGTACAAAACATCAATCACGATGAAAATAATTATTCAAGATGAAACTTCACAACCTTTCATTCCCAGTGTTTTTCAATGTTCATTCAATGCTGCAAGAAAGTTTCTAGTGAAGAGATGGGGTAAATTGTCTATCGAATGTCTGCTAGTAAATTCAGAGGAAAATATTTCAAAATGCATCAGAAAAACAAGGCAATTGATCGAAATCTATTTCAAATGATCGAAATTAAATTTTTTTCATAGATATTTGACATCTAGGTTTCTACATTTTAATGGCAATGTTGGTCTGACTCATGTCAAGCTGGCGACTTCGATGTAAAGAGAGCATCAAAGATGGACTATCTTGTGGCTTGTGGACTTTATGTATTGAGGGAAACATTTCCAGTTCAGCTTCTCTAACAAAGCCATTATGTGCAGAATCTTTTGCAAAAACTAAAACCTAAAATCTCAAATCACATAAAGTCCACTGTCAGTGAATTTTTTCAGTTGATGCCGCCAGTTCAACCTCTTCATCAAACCGTTAAAAAGACTATACAGACCCAGAGATTCAACGTCAATGAAGAAAATCGATCAGTAAGCTGAATCTGTTTAAGTCGCAGACTTGTTGAGGCCTTAATACAAAAGTTAACCATATTTATTTAGTTTCAATTAACCGATTATCAAAAACTCACTAAGCTCTTAAACTAACAGAAACGAATGTAAAGATTTTAGTGACTTTTCTTGCGAAAATTTCTCATTGGTAATTTCATTGTTTGATTCTGTGACTGTACGAAAATATGAAAGCAATTGTTCATACTGCAGCAAGCATTTCAATTTTTGCTTTTCATTTCATAGACATACAAGGATAAAAAATTGAAATTGCAAGATTGATGAATCTGTTTAGAATTTGAAAGTTGAAAATCCACGAGTTTTAATGTTTCAACTTTGTTCAGTCCAATGAGCAGATTAGAATCGAAAGTCTGAATAAGTAAACATTGAACAAGCAGGGAAAGCGGAATGATAAAGTAAAAATGGAAAGTATGAAAAGAATGGCAAGAATGGAATGAATGGAAACATCCATTGCAAAGTAGTAATTCAGCTAAAATATCCAGCTATTTGCATGATAAAAGTTGAAACAACAGTCAGAGTATATTCATGTTTACAGTGAAAATAGATCACCATTTGCTTTGCCTTTTTTTGTTTGCCTTTTATTGCAAAGTCAATATTATTCAATAGTATCATACACCTTTTATCATGATCATGATCATTTCCTTTTAGTTTTCCTTTTCATCCAATATTTTCCATTCTCTCTCTCTCAACAAATTTCTCATGTTAAAAGTTGTTGATTTACTTCAACACAGTGTTCGCCCTCCTTTTCAATGCTTCAACATTTCTTTTCCTAAATGAGGTGAAGTGTTGAGGAATGAAAGAAGAAGCAAGAAAAAATGAGGGAAAATGTTGATGGACAAATTGTTGCTGAGAAGAGGAGGAAAAGAAAAGTTGGTTAATATATCAAAGTGAGAAAATGAATTGAGACAAAATTGGAAGAGCGTGTAAAGAGTGGAAAAGAAATTGTTCAAGGTAATAGAAACTCTTCTGGACAACATTGAATCATCAATATTATTGCAACTTTTTTCTTCTCTTCACATTTTCTCTCCTTTTTTCTCTTCTCTCAAAATATTCTTGACACTACAGTTTCTATCTATTTTCTTACTCTCACTTCGATCAGACTTTCCTTCTTGAACTAATACTTGAGCAACATCTTGAGCTGCAAGTTATTTAGTTCAATTATTTTGTTGTCATTATCATTTATACGCTCTTGATGACGATAAGGATCGTTCATATGCTCAAATCTCATACTAAAAATGGTCGAGAAATAACTTTGAATAAACAATATTTCGAGTTTCGAGTCTTGGTCTTAGATGTCAGCATGATCAAACAAAACTCAATCATTCTTATTTCGATCATCAAATACTTTTGGTAAATTGGTTTCATGTAAAAGTGAAAATAGATGATCCATTGAAAAACTTCATTTTAGTCATTTTCCATTTTCCGCGACTTTCTAATTAAAGAATAGAAAATTAAGTTTTTCTCATTTTTGGACTCTTTTTCAGTCGAAGAATACCTTTCAAAGTGCTAAGTCTATGACTTTTTGAAATTGTGTAAATAGTGAAGTTGAATGAAGGTTCAAAGAAAATGCATCAACTTGAATACTAATTTCTGAGAAAATTCAATCTGTTAACGACATTCATAAGCCTATTCTGTTTATGAGATTAGCTGTGAAATTAAAAAGTTATTCTTACTTTGTATTCATAATCATAGGCAAACCTTAGTTATCCAATTATCAAACTGAGTTTGTTATTTTGCCTTGTTAGTAACAAATAAGATCAAATTGAATTTAAAGGTTTGCCTTGTTACTTTCGAATGAACTCGTTCATGAACAAACCTATGATCATTCATTTAGCAAGCAAATGAGCACCTTGTTTGTCTTTTATTCCGATTCCACTTCAATACTTTGCTCCTGAAAATTTCTCAATGAATGTATCACTTTGCAATTATGAGAAAACCAATCTCGAGAAAATTTGACTAAACTCGTAATAAGAGATTTTATTGAAGAAATTTATTCCGAAATCGATTGATACTCTTTGAATAGGAAAAGCCAGGTAAATAGCCAAATAGAAAAATTGCTAAGAATGAACATTTCCCGATTGATGCTTTTGAGAAATATTTTAAACTTTGAACTTTCGAAATTCAGTTTATTGGTAAAATCATGGGAACTTGTGAATGATTAAAATATGAAATATAAATCCATTTTCAAACAGTTGATTGATTAATGATTTCGTTGACATATAAACTATGACGATTAATGGAAAAGTGTTTTCTTTTCCTCAGTCCAAGTTTCATTGTTTCGAAATGAAAATTCAATTATTTCATTGAATTTGCCATGATGCAACTCCAAGACATTTATCATAATTATGTTATCATAAATCTATTTATCACTCGTTTCTCATCCAACTTTGCCCGATCAGATAATTCAATTCAATTGTCTAACCACAGACAACACACACTTGTGAGAAATAGTTTTCAGTGGAAAAGGAAGAAACTCGGATTGAATTTAAACAGTTAAACATGATAGATCAATTGAAATGAAGATTCAATTGCGACGATAAAGAAACAATAGAAAGAATCTGCAGAAGAGAAAAAAGTTAAATTATTCTTCTCTTCCCTTTGCACTAGCATTTGTTCCATGTACTAATTTCACTCTCAACTCTTTCAAGTTGACTGACAAAGCAAAGAGAAAAAAAATCGAAAATTAAAATTCCATCAGAGTTTCCTCAATTGGGACTGTCATAGATTATTGGATTAACCAATTTCCACCAGTTTCACTTTACCACCTTTAAGGTTACAGCTTGGCCGAGCAAAAAGTAAACCAATTTTTCATGGTAAATGATAATGAGAACAAACAGAAAAATGGAAAACCAGAAAAACAAATGAAATCGCAATAAATTTCAATAACTTTTTTTCACCAATTTTACTCTTTTCTTTTAATGAAGCAAAAGCTTAACAACATTAAACTGAAACCTTGTGAAGGAAAAAAAGGTTGAAATGAAACAGAAGGTTTGATTAATGCAAAAATCATCATCAAAAGTAAGCTGATGATGAATGAGAATAATATTCATTTATTATCTGGTGAAAAGTTTCATTCCATTTTCAGTCTTCTTTCTTTTTCTCTACTTTCCTCTCTCAACCCATTTCTACTCAGCCGCCAACTGAATGAAAAGTGAAGAATGAAAAACCTCTAATTGTTTAATAATAGTGATAAATGAATTGTTGAATTGATTCTATGAGACAAAAAATAGTTCATCAATTATTGAAAAGAGATGAGTAAAGTGTTTACTGTGGTAAAACAGAATGAAGGGGAAAAAGGGAAAAATTTGGCCAACTTTGAATAGAAGAAAAAAAAGAGAGAAAAGAGAAACTCGAAAATCAATTACTGGGAGTAATATTTATCACATTAACTGGCTAATATGCTGTAAGGTATGATAATAATGATGATAATCATGCTTTGGAACAATGAAAGTTGCAACCTTTTCTGTTAGTTTTTGCAACTTTCATTGTTCGAGTTGAACATTTTCTGGACACTTTTACTCCCTTCAAGAATGCGATTACAGTTTTATCGACTTTTCTCTTGGAATTTGTCAAATTCTTGATTCGACAATCAATCCAGTTTTCTTGTCAACTTGATTACATTTTGTTTGGCCTTTGCGCTCAAAAGCAACATTTCTCTCGGTCGATGCTTTCATTACTCTTCAATACTTATTGCGGAATTTTGTTGAAAGAAGAAAAAAAAAGTTTTCTTCTCTTTAACCAGATACATTTTCCTGTCAATGTAATGGAAATATTGTTACATTTTTGAGCATTCATCTGTTATCCTGGTATTCTAGTCCAGCTAGAGATTGAACTTGATTGATAGCAAGTAAACTGGGAATGCAAAATTCCAATGAAGAAGGAAAAAGGTTCCAAGACTTTTTTCTCGATGCTTTGTCTTCAAGTGTGCTTCTTACGCATTCATGTTTCATTGTCTCGACTGTTCACTTTACTCACTTTAGGTTCATCAATAGAGGAAAAATGTTGAACTTCTTGCTGAGGAAAGGCAAAGAAACAAATGTGCTACTTGGACTTGTTTCACCAGACAACATTGATTTCGGTGAAACATTCTTTTCGCAACACTCATCCATTCAAGTATCACAAAATAATCTTCATCACGAATCATCATTATCAGCATCATCATTTATCAAATAATCTTTTTTTTATATTTCACTGCCTTCCATTGCTTACAATAGGACATAACTATGAACCACTTGGATGGATAAATGATGATGATAATGATGATGAAGGATGAAGCATTTTCGAGAAGCATCAGGCAATGATGGAAAGAAGCGTTAGTAATGATTAAATGGTGATACAAGTTTAAATGCTAAAAACTGATACTCGAGCTCTTATTATGCACACAAAAGTGAAGATTAAAGATGAAAATAAATGATGGAACAATTTATTTTGATTAAAATCATAATTCATTAATAAACGATTGCGGTCAATTATTACCGCATCAAACTTGGAAAATTTCAATCTCTTTAGAAATCCATTTCGAAATTTTCTTTTCACAAAATCACTTTTCTCAACTTGACAGGGAATGATGAAAATTGACATTTTTTTCAAAATCCAAATTCGAATAATAAATTGTGAAAAATTTGAGCCTTTTGAAAATTCTGTTGGCAGGGAATGAGTATGAATAGAAGATGAAGAAAATCACTTTTAAACTTTATGCTCTTTACGATGGCTTTGATTGGTCAAGAAGAGTGAAACAAGTGAAGGAAAAACAAAATTAGATAAGTGTTTGTATCAATGATTTTGATGATTTTGTTCAACTTTTCCATGATAATGTTGTTGTTTAAGGATAAAATAGTAACGATAAAATTGAATAAATGACAATTGAAGGGGAAAAAGATGAGCAAGTTGAAGAGATGAGAGTATAAGAGAAGAAGGTAAATTAAAGGTGAAATTGTGTGAAAAGAGTCTTGTCCTTATTCACCTTGATTGATATGGTCAATTGAAGAGGATAAAGTAAATGATAATCAAATAATACACTTTTAAGGTTACAGAATTGTAATCAATGTAGTGACCATTTCGATTACCATCACTTTAATAATACCAACCATCATCATCATCATCACATCATGCTTATTCTCATTTATTCAATCTTCTTATATAAACTCAATTTTCTGCATCACCTGAAGTAATGAAAATGTTGCACTATTATGTTAATGATAAAACAACATTCAAACTCGTCTTATATTGGCAATTGACAGAAATTCACATTTCCAAGTAAAAGTTGAACAGGAAACTGGTAAAGCAAAAGTTTCCTGTTGAACCAATAAACTTGGTTCGAAATGGAAAATGATTTTATGAGAAAAAAAGATTCGAAAAAAAATGAATTTTTTTCTTTTCCTTTTTTTTGCAGCGACTTCTTACCATAAGTTGTCCACAAAATTTACCAAAATTTGAAGTATCTTGTGTTGTTGCAACAGGAAGAGTTGATGCATTGGCAGGTTTCCTGGTTTGTTTTTCATGGATTCTTACATAACCATACTCACAGGCTGGATGCTCTCTAGATGTGACAAAATGAATGAGTATAAAGTGAGAAAATTGTTGGAATTTTTTTTATAACAATAAGTAAATCAACTTTTTTTCTTCTTGCGATAAATGTATTAATAAAAGCCAATGTGACGATTGTAATAACAATGAAAGTTAAAGGTTGAAAGTAATGAGAATAATCATGATAAACAGTGTGAATATTGGTTCAACTCTGCGGGAATGCTAAATGGATCATAAACTTTTTTGGCTGGGAAAATGTATTCAGTTGTTTACCTGGAATTGTAGCACATAACGAGTATAATGTGCAGCTAAAGTTCAATTTAGTTTGAAATTATTTCACAAAATGACATTTCACTTTGAAACTGCTGTGCATTAGGAATGTCGTTGGTCATTTAATTGAGCATGAAAGGTTAAAAGGTAAAAGGCTAGAATGGAGAAACAATATTTTGGTGTAGAGAAAAAATTTACTCCCAGAGTTCATGGCGCCCCATTCAACTAAAATTTATCTCGGATATCATTTCACTCCCAGTTATTGTGATAACCTCAACTCCATGCAGACATTTTGGCTTGCTATCAAACATGCATGATGAAGTCAGACAGAAAAGCTGTTTCTCAGTTGGAACATTCATTGCTCTTTACTGGTTAAACATTTCGCATCATAAAACAGATAAAAGAATCTAAAAAATAGAAACATCATAAAAAGGATTGAATCCATCACATATTCTATTAAAACATTTAACACAGCTGAATGGATTTTCCCATGTTACGACTTCACCTCCCATACAATTTTATTTGTAGACAAGCAATTGAATTCGGACAAAATGAATACCTTCTGTGTTCAAATTTTTGCTTTGCTAAAAATTTTATCAGAAACCAACTGAACTTCAGAGGATGAGGATTAAAAAGAGCACTTTTCTCTCTTTATTATTAAATCGATCAGAGTCATTGACTTAGTATTCACATAAATCACACTCCGAGCACTTTTGCTAGCTGCAACTCCCTGATAAAATCGGGGTTTGTCTTTGATTCAATCTCAGATTCCTACCAAGGTATTATGATTGTGATATTTATCAGGTTGGTTTATTTGAATCATATTTGTGTTAAACTTGTTCCCATATTTACAGGTATTTGATTAATGTGACTTGCAACTTCCCACTTTGTTGGTACAGGGAGTGAAGGACTGGGACTAGAGATATTCATCGATATTTAGCTTGTCCATCGAAACAAATTTTACTTTTCGGTAAAGTAGCGATGAATCTTGATAACTATCGATATTTTTGCCATATCGCAATATTGATATCGGAAAAATATTTGTCACCCTTTATTAACAGGGAAAGAGGTCCAGGGAGTGCAAATGGTTTTGGCAAGAAATGAAAGCGATGAAAGTGAAAGCTGATATTTTTAATTTTTTGCTTGAAGATAGTCTTGAGATTAAGATTCTTTTCGATTTCGATTGAATTTATCGTAATCAGCAGAACAAAATTTGAACACAATTAACCTTTAGTAAAATTTTAAATTAGACACAAAAAATATGCATAATAATGGGAATGAATTTGTTCGTTTAAACTTTGCACTTTTCGTTGAAGCATTTAGTTTGTTGAAAGTTCATGTGGATTGAAATAATGAAATTACACCTTTGAAACAAATACAAACTCATTTCTCTACCTGAGCCTGCTTGACGTTTTTACGACGTTGGAATTGTTTATCATCAAAAAGAAAAGTCTTTTTTTTCATTAAACTTTTTTTTCTTCTTTTCCATTATTACTTGTTTTTAACCTCTTCATTTCGAGCCTAAATTCTTGAAGCTTCTGGTTGCTTAGCTAAAGTTCATTGACTATCATGGACTTATGGACTCGCTGGAAATGTCATCATTGAATGAAAAAAAAGAAAAGGTAAAAGGAAAAGAAGATGAAAATATTTAACCAAAAATAAGAGGATAAACATGAGATAGTCTTATATAACATGTTACATTTCAAGATAATGGGCAGAGTAATAAGAATGAATGTGATGAAACAAGATGAAAACTTTAAAAGGTGATATTTTTGTGTCTATTTCTTTATCCATGAAAAGATAAATGGAGCGATATATGAGTGTTTTCCTTGATTCTTTCAAGTGTTTACCTTTCAACCTTTCCTATTTTGTTCATCATTTTTACTTGGCATCTTCAATAGTTCAACAGAACAGAATTTATAATGTGAATCAATCAGTTGAATAAGGGTTCAGTGAACATGAAAAGACAGTCAAGGACAGAAACAAAAGAAATAAGTGGATGAACAATGAATTTAGCGAATAAACTTTCAAACATTTTCCATCATAAAACATGAAAAGAGCAAAAAGAAATATCAATTTAAATGCTTCAAATTTCATGTTAATAATGGTTAATGTTTTTCTCGCTTGGAATGTAAACTGTTGAACTCGAAATGATTGACTGAAAGTAGGCTGGTCAAGGTATGAAAAGAGTTTCAAGTTGAGAAAAAAATTGTCACGAAATTAATCAATTGAGATTACAGAACTTTTTTTTTCATTCCAAAGTTGAACCAAAATATGAATTTGTGTAAACGCATAAATATCGTTATTGAATAAACAAGATACTCTGAAATCTGTAAACTTATTCAAGTTCGTTTGACTGAAAGAAAATGAACTTTTTTTCATCCTTTTTTTCTTCTCTTCTTTTTCAAGTTTACAATTTTTTCTCAATTCCGAGGTACTTTAATATTGCATTATCCATGTTGGTTGACATGCAAAACATCAATTTGAGTTGTAATATCATCGCTCAGGATAAACTAAATAAATCAAAAGGAAGGAAGAGAGAGAGAAAAGTTTAAAGCGAAGAGAAAAAAAAGATGAATTTTCAATGCAAGTTTACACAAACACAAGAGTTTAATCAACCAGGTATGAATTGAAATTGAACCTTAACATTTTCTCTCCATTTCTGAGCAGAATAAAGTTCACTTGGGAATTTGCTATTTTGCTAAACCTTTAACGTTCTTATTTCTCTCCCTCTTCTGTTTCTTGCATTTCATTCAAATCTTTGACACAAAATAAGTACTTTAACAATTGAATCAACAATGCGGATGAAAACAATTTTCACCTTTATTGTTGTCATCACTTCGACAAGTTTCCAAAGGTTAAATCATTGCTCTAGCAAACAATGTTAATGTTTTTGTTATCACTTGAAACTTTGACTTGTACAATAATGCATCACCAAAGATGACTCAATCTAGAGCAAACTGATGGAACAAGTTGACAGTAATTTTTCCTCTTTCAACAGATTCGACATTGAACTCGCTCCAATGCACTTTTTCTCATGGATTTAGTTTGAAACATTTCTAGTACAAAAGACAACAAAAATTTGCTCAAATTTTGAACTTGAAGAAACTAAAACTAATGTTCGAACTTTCTGTTGGAAAAATGATTTTTCAAAAAATTCTTTTCGCTTCCAATGTAGTTGATTTGATGAACATTATTCATTGAGCAAAAGTCTTGAAAATGATTTCGTTTAGTCATTATTTTCGAGCAAATTTGTACATTTGCACAGCTGCTCGTTGAGATTAAAGTAAATGAGTCAATTGATTATGAAAAGGTTGTAAACATAGAGCTTCGAGTTAAACTTGGTGAACCTTATAATGTGTGAATTGTGTAGGATAAGTGAACCTGTCAATATAATTATTATCATTCAATTATGAAACATGAAACATGAAACTATTAATAATCTATTAAACCGTTTTCCCATCATTATCTTGATCGGAAAGAGTACGAAGCATAGGATGGAAAAGGCAATTCTAAATTGAACTTGATCGTCCAGACAACCATGAGAAAATTGGAGAATCGTAACGATCGAAATTTGACCAGAGAAAAGAAAAAAATTCGAATTTTCACACCCACGATTCACTCCAACATTTGCTTTGCTTGAACTGTGAGTTTCTCAGTTTACTAATAAAAGCCATTATCATTTGCATATGGAAACCCATGAATCTTGCCAATCAAGTATAACACATTACAATGGCAAGTTGATTAAAGGCATTGGCAGGTTGCATGGAAACAAGTATGTGAATATAGCCAAGAGTAGAGAATGTAATTTGTTGAGCAAATTAATTGCTTTGGTAAAAAAAGTACACGCATCATTTCCTCAAGAGTCCAATGAGAAAATTGGAGCAACTTTTCATCATCATCTTCATCAGCATCATCATCATCATCTAAATACAAAAGGTGAACTACTTAATGGACTGTATTCCATGTTTACTTTTTTCCACTTTTCGCATCAAGATGTACATTAAGGGTCAAAAGTTTTACCATCAATTTATTTCTTGAATTTTTAGTTTAAGTTTTTTCGATGGTTTCAGAAGTGATAATTGTTCGAAGCACATTGCCAAATGAAGTTTAAACTAGAAATGCTTTCAGTTTTGGACAGTGGACAAGAATAAATTGAATCAGTTTTTGATTTGATAAAATTTACAGAAGCAAAGATAAAAGTCGAAAAATTGTCCTAAAATTTAAATTCCATCACAAACGTATTTTCCCTTTCAAGACTATTTTTGCGAATAAATCAACCAATATTTGTCAACTTATCATCTGTTGCTTCTGTAATAGATTTCTGGAACAACGTTTTAAATAATATTAATAAGCTTCTGATGCTTTTCTTTGAAACCAAAATTGATCTTGTTCGATGTCAACTCGACGATGAGTAAAAATGATGAGATGATTGCATCTGCTCTTTGCTACTGCCAGTTGACGTATTTCGTTGACTTTAGAGGTGCAACTACTGGTAAGGTTATGCTTGTGGAAAAACGAAAAAAATTGTTTTTATTCAGGGCAACATGCGAATTTTGAGTTTTTCAATGTTTTAAATGAATGAGAAATGAGTTGAATTGAATGTGAAGATATTTACAAAACTCTTCAGCATTGGAACTCAATGTTGAAATATTTTCCTGTTCTTCATGAATCTTTCATCAATAATGATATCAATGAAATGCTATCCATTTGATTTACTTTCTTTTATTCATTTACCTCTTC